GGACTGCATGCCCACTTCAGTGATTCAAAAGAACGAATTTTATCAATACCTGTTGATATTGTATGCCTTATACAATACCTGTTGTTGGCTCTTCGAAGAAGATCAATAATATAAACAAGGATCTTGTGATACAGGAGCCTGTAGAATCAATTGCCTCTTGACAATGAAGAACAACAACAGCCCCACATGAAAGTGCCAGTAGCTGAGGCCCCAGAAGGTCTCAAAGAATTAGTAAACCAATTTTCTGATGACTATGAAGTTTATGTTAGTAAAGAAATTCAAATAGAGGGTGATCCCACCTCATTTGAAGAAGCCATGAGAAGCATTTACTCGTTTAAATGGCAAGAAGTTATGGAAATTGAAATGAATTCGATGAATACCAACGATGTTTGGGACTTAGAAGAAATTCCTAATTGAGCCAAAACAGTAGGCTGTGAAAGGGTCTATAAGACAAAATGTGACTCCAAAGGAAATGTGGAAATATATAAAGCATGACTTGTAGCTAAAGGCTTTACGCAAAGAGAATGAATAGATTACGATGAGAGTTTTCTCTCCAGTCTCATTTTAAGGACTCTTTTAGAATCATAATAGTGTTACTGGCACATTACGATTTAGAGTTACATCAGATGGATGTAAAGACGACGTTCCTTAACGGGGATTTGTATGAAAAATATTTACATGGAACAACCCAAAGGTTTTGTCGTGGAAGAAAAAGAACATATGGGATGCCGCCTGTCGAAATCCATTTATGGGTTCAAATAAGTCTCTAGACAGTAGTATTTAAAGTTGATGAAACGATAAAAAAGTTTGGGTTTAAAGAAAATGATAAGGACAATAGCGTTTATGCGAAGTTCAAAAATGAAAAATTTATTTTCCACATCCTATGTATAGATGACATCCTACTCACTAGTAGCAATGTTAATTTGTCATTGGAGAAGATGAAGTCTTGGTCCTCAAGTTTCAATGTGAATGATCTTGGTAAAACCTCATTGGTTCTAGGAATTAAAATTCACCGAGATAGATGAAAAGGGGTATTAGGACTATCGCAAAGGCATACTTAAAAAAGATTCTAAAGAAATAAAGTATGCATACGAGTAAACCTATGCCTGCTTCTATAGTCAAGGGTAATAGATTTAGAAACTTTCAGTGTTTCAGGAACCGATATGAGATTGATCAAATGAACATGGTTCCATATACTTCAGCTGTTGGAAGCTCAATGAATGTACAAGTAAGAACTTACCCTGACGTAGCTTACGTATCCGGGATGTTTTGACAGAAGTCCAGTCCAGATATAGATCACTAGAATGGAGTTAAGAATGTCTTGCAATTTTTGCAAAGTATCATAGGCCTCACGCTGAGTAAGATAGAACAAATACTCTCAAATAGTTGTGGGTACAAATGTTAAGTTTTGGCGAGATGTATAGTGAAATCCATAGTAGTTGATAACACTCACAGTTAGAGTATTATTGTGGAAAAGCTCCAATGAAACAGTTGTGGTATCATCAATGATGCATACCATAGTATAGGCTTATCATGAGGCCTCAGAAACAGGCAAAAATGGTTAAGAGAATATATACCCGGATTTAACAATGGTAGTCAACAACAATAACCATTTAAAGTATTTAACTCCTAAGATAACAGGTCAAGTGTGCTGCTAAACATATTGGCATTAAGTTATATGTTGTAAAGCAGAAAATCCAGAATCATTTTAAAAGCATTGAGCATATAAGTACCAAGCAAGTACTTGCGGATCCGCTTACCAAAGGCTAACCACCCAGTGCGTTCAAAGAACACACAGTCGACATGAATTTACGGGAAAGCCTATGATTTCTGGATACTAAGGGCCTAGTTGAGAATCTGTTTCAAAACAGAGAGGTGCATTATAGCAGTTTAATCTAATGGTAGCTGACCATGACGATGAGGCACGCTCTATGCACTGATCTGCGATGGAATGGGAAAAAGATAAAGTAAGTTAAGTTTAAGTCATAATGTGAGATCAAGAGGGGAATGTTAGATTAATCTCCGTCAGTTGGCCCAACGGCCAATTGGACCCTTGATCCACGCCCCAGCCGTTCTCCTGGCTGATAGGCCCCCGTCGCGCAGCGCTATATAGAGGAAGGTGGGGGGCCGAGGTGCAAGACACGAGGTTCACTGCAGCCGCATGTTCCCCACCGACGTCCTAACTCTAGACCGATCGAGAGGGTGCGCTGTGAGCGACGGGAAGCGACATCGTCTTCGCCGCCGCCACTGGACCGCGCCTCCACGTCGCTGCTACCTCGGTGGCGGCGCTATGGCCGCGACACTGCGCTGGATGAGGTACAACAGCAAGTTATTTATCAAAGTTCAGTTTTACCCGCTAAATTATATCACCTTCCTTTTCCCGTGCCGGCCTCCACCGGCGGTGGCGGCGACCTCGTTGTGTGCCGTGCCCGTGCGTTGCAACGAATGGGAGGTGACGTTGCGGGTTGGTGATGAGTTGGAGGCGCCGGATCTGATGAGGCTGCCGCGTCCGTGAGGAGGATCGCCGCGGCGCTGTGCTGGGTGCATCGGCCCCCGCGGGAGTACGGGAAAGCACGGCGACGGTTGGAGGTGAGCCTTTTTCTCGACTCGAGATCCATTTGCGTTGTTGCTTTCTAGGCGACCTGCATTGCAGCGCCGCACTGGCAAGAGAAGATGGGCTCGCTCGCTGGTACTGCAGAATTTAGTACGAGCTTGATTGAGGGTTTGTTGTTTGTATAGGACCGCCAGTTGCATTCTTACACGGCCCGGTCCGTCTATGCTGTCGCAACAGTATTGTCTAGCGCTCTCTCTCAAAAGAAATTTGTTGTTCAGTTCCTCAAACTGGGGGAGAAAAAAGAGAGAGAAGGGGAAGGGTTGTTCAATTGACACGAAACAGTCCACTCTCTGTATAAACATGGGGAACTGTTAGCGAGAGGGCCGTTCCCAAGATCATTCAAAAAAACTCTTGTTTATCTCTCCAGTTTCCACTCGGTCTTCTCGTCCACGGAGCCCCGACTATTCGACATTTCTATTGCCTGCATCCCATTTGGCCAATCTTGCTGAGCCGACTGTCCGGCGGCGTCGTCACACGGTGGCTCCTTCCCAGGTTTTTGATCCACGGCTGTCTTGCCCCGGGTACGTACGCGCGCTGTTTTTCTCTATGCATCGTTGGCCATGCGTGTTCTGTTATTGATGTTATATCATTCATGGCGTTGAGTTTTCATGGAAGATTGCATGCTAGAAACTGTAGAAAGGTTCTCTATTCACCCGTGCTGCCTCGAATTCGAAAGGCCGCGGTGCTGTCGTTCCGGATCGATCAGTTCAGGAAACTAGTTACCAGTATATAGTAGGCAAAAATAAGAAAACCAATAAAAACGAATGCTCGTCATTCCTTTAAAAAAAAGAAAAAAGTTTTTTTAGATGTTTATAGACTGGAACCGATCCAACCGTCGTAGTCTCGTAGCAGGTGAGGGGGTTGCCACCGTGTCTGACGTTTTAAATTTAATTTACTGGATCAAAGTTTGGTAATGAGATTCGAAGACCGTTTCCATTGCACTTGTCCGGTTGCCGTACCGTTACATATGGGAAGAGGAGGTGGAGTAGTGGACTATATTGAACGCTAACTAATTCTTTTTCCAGAACTGAAGCGCTTCCATATATTTCGTACGGAAGAAAACAGTCGTAAGGTCAGGCATCCGTTTGCTCCTCGTCCTCAGGTGACGACTGGGTTCGCACGCAGCCGTCTGATCACCGTGTGCATCGTGGTTGGGCTGCCATAAATCCTGTCTGTCCTGATCCTGACGTGCGCACCTTAACTGTCGCTAGAGCTGATACATCAGCAGACAGCAGCCAAGCTTTTGCGTGCGTGCCTTAACTTTTCTGTTTACTCAAACTTATCCTCCGGTATTAGTATATCCACAAGACCATTTGGTCGCTAATGATGACTGAATTCCTGGATTCTTGATGATTATGAACAGACAGCAGAGGTTTGGCGGCAGCGGCGTACGCCCGGAGTCGTCGTTGCGCTAGTGCATTTGTGGGGGCGGACGGGCCGTGCGTGGGCAATGGCGGCGCCGGCGCGCCCGTACAGGTTCCCCGTGCTGCCGGAGAAAGAGGAAGACGAGCAGGTGGCGACGCGGTGCACCAGGCAGACGTGCGGGACGTGCAGCACGTCGGCGGTGGCTAGCTGCGTGGCGCTATGCTGCTGCCCGTGCGCCGTGGTGAGCTGCCTCACGATGGCGCTCGTCAAGGCGCCCTACGTGGCGGGCCGGCGGTGCGTGGCCAGGATCGCCAGGAGGCGGCTGCAGAAGGCGAGGACGAGGCGCGTCCGCGACCTGGACGACGACGACGAGCAGGGGCAGGGCCCGCGGCAAAGCAAGGAGCTGTGGGGCGACCTGCCTCGCGCGGCCGTGGACGACGGCGGCAGCAGGGCGAAGGTGAGCTCCAGGATGGACGTGTCCGAGAAGGTGTGGGTGGACATGTACCAGGTCGGGCTCTGGGGTTTCGGCAGGCTGTCCTTCTCGGCGGCGGTCGGGGGCGGAGGCGACTCCGAGAAGGACGGCGATACTGCTCCTGAGTCCTGAGTAAGACGGCCATTGGCTCACTCTAGAGCCGGCTCTAATGTCGTCTTGTACAAACTTGTTTCTTTGGTAATTGCCTGCACAGGCTTTTTGTGATGGCGTCGATCGACCTTTATTGTTGCATCAGAACTCTGTACAAAATTGCACCCAGTACATCATTGCACACACACTTGGCTCTCCCTGCTCCTTCTCGTCGACAAGACGGGCCACCGATTGTGATGCGGAGCTCTGCTATTGCTTCGCTTCCGGTGCCCACTTGTCAATGGGACGCTGGTTGCAGTTGCAGTCTTGCAGACTGGTGTAGTCAACCCTTGCTGCGATGATGGCTCGTCACTTCGTCAGTGCCAGCGGTTTCCACGTTCATGGCAATGCATCTGGGGCTAGCCTAGCCCTGCAGAGCCTTCGCCGCCTGAGCTATAGCTAGTCAAACGCGACGGAGTAGTAGGTGTCGTACGTGCACCTCCTCCTGGAGGACATGAGCCTGGACAGCTTCCGCTTGCAGAGCTCGAACCTGGCCGGCCGGTCGTCGTCGGAGCCCTGCGCGGCCGCGGCCCCGCCCGGCAGCCCCAGCTGTCGCTCCAGCTCGGCGAACTCCTCCGGCCGCTTGACCACGTGGTCGTAGCAGATGTACCTCCCGCCGGCGGTATTGTCGCCCATCGCCTCGTACGCGAGGACGTGCGCCTCGGCCACCGTCTCCACGTTCGCCGTGGCGAGCAGGCCGTCAGCGAGCATAGCACGAGCCCCTGCGGCCGAATATGCAAAAGGAGTCAGGTCAGAGCGATGAACAACGCGTGTTGGCGCACGTACGAGTCGGTGCGTCTCACGGTACGCATCCCGGGCGGCACCGACCTTTGAGATACGCGATGGACGCGGTGGAGTTGCGGCGGCGGAATCCCGGGCCGGTGACGAGCGCGGGGCAGATGGTGACCAGCTTCAGGTCTCGTCCCCGCGCTGCCCTCCAGGCAGCCTTCTCTGCTGCCGTTTTGCCAAGTGCAAACCACAGCTGAAAAACGTTGCATCACATTACTGGTACTATTAGATTAGACATTCCCATAATAGTAGACCTGTGCTAGGGATGGAAATGGGCCGGAGTCGACCCATTGGGAACAGGCCAGTAGGCCACAGGCTGTGCAGTTTTTCAACAGAAAAAGAGAAGCAGTTTTCCACTATTGTGACTTGGGGGTGCTCTTCAGCAGTTCAGTACCACTGAACCCTGGAAACTGACAAGAGCTGAACCCACATACTTGTTGGTGCAAACTTTAGATGGATTTTCTCGAAGATGGTTATGTGGCTTCTCCCTGATCGCACTAGTTTGTGTGATCAATTAAAGGAAACATAAATACAAATGCATTTATGTTTTCTCCCAATCACTCACCTTATTGTCGCGGCAAAAGCTCTCGTCGCTCCAGCAGCTCTCATCGATGATGGTAGGGTACCGCCGGTCATGAGGGTAGTTCTGCCTCCACACACATGCCAGCAAGGAAGAGGTGAAGACACATTTCCTGACGGACTCCGTCCTCACGCAGGCTTCAATCACCCGCTCCGCTGCTTGGGCTTCTAACGTTGCCATGTGTTTCTGTTGAAATCAGATATTGCCATATGTTAGCCACAAATTTCTTCAGCTTGTATTGATGTTTTTTGTGAGGTATACCCCAAATTTGTTCAAATATCTACTAAAGTTTTATTCAAAATATGTTGCTAACATGTGAAACATTATTATATACTGTTAAAAAAACAAGAAAAGCCACTTTGTTACAATAGATAAATTGCAAATTAACCATGGATCTTGGCAAGCTGAAACTGCAGCAGCAGTGAGCTCAAGATTGGCTTAGCCACCTAATCAAAGATTTTACAGAATTTAATACGAGCATGTTAAGAGCAATTCCAAGAGCCTTTCCAAACTTCAATCTCTATGTTTATATTTGGAGAGCCATTCCATAAATATTTTCTTTGTATTTCTCTCGTGCATCCATTGGACTCTCTAGTTTTGTTCTCTGTGCTCCAATGTCTTATCATCATTTTGCTTGTGTGAAAAAAAAATCATGAAAGGACTACTCCTACCATATATTGAATTTAGAGAGTGATATAGCCTCTCCATTAATAAAAAGCGAGAATGATGGTTCTGGAGAGCGAAAAAGATATATATAGTGATTTAGAGAATCTATTGGAGTCTGATTTTTTTCTTCTAAATTTTGTGATAAAGATCCATACAGAGAGACTCTTGAGTCTTGAATATAAAAGGTTATCCAGGGCACTGTTGAAGTGTTGGTTAACACAGCATGTGACAACGATATTTTTGGCTGACTGGGCATTCGACAAAATAGTGAGCAGGTGAGAACTGAATCAGCATCGACTTCCCGAAGGGTTGCCACCAATCAACATAGCATCCTCGTTTTCAGCCTGGAATTTGTATACTTCGAAGGATAAGAGCTGCACCTGCTGGTGCTAACGACATCACGCAATATTCAGTGGAGGAGGCACGTATGACCTTTTGTTTTCTAATCACTTTGGGTGTTATAAACCCATCGTGAGTGGTTGCACGATATGTTGACGCCATGACGGTTCCAGCGTGCGCAAGGGAACCTAGTCGTGGACCTTGTGGTGGTTGCATTGTCGACCTCTAGTTTCTATATGTGAAATCAAAATCAGACGAAACGGACAAAGTGCAAAGGAGATGAGACCTCTATCACTAGTCCACTAGATTAGGTGAGTTTAGTTGAAAGGCCTGCTCTTCTTTTTACGGATCTTATATGTGCAAGTGTGCAACTCAGATTCAAATGAACAAAACTTGTAAATCTTGATATCCCTCATTAGTCAGCCGTGTAGACTTCGGATCAGTTGGTTGGAACGCCAAAAATGTTAAAGGTTCAGGAAGCTTCACAGGTGCAGTACAGTTGGAGAAGGTCCGAATTAAGAAATTCTTTCTTCAGAAGCTACCCTTTGCTTTTGCATCCTCTTAACCTCGTTCGTCAACAGAAGTTGTACTCTACTTCCAAAGTCACGGGTTGTTGAGTGACGTTCTGAAAGTACTACTGCCTTTCTGTTTTGTAGCTGGTCAGCTGTCTGTCTAGGTTAAGGGTCTGTCTTGATGCTGCCTGGTAATAGCTAGTATGTTAAATTAGCTAGGATTGATCCGAACATGAAATACTAATAGCTTCATCTTTTAACCTATGGTTCCATTAGTACATATTAGCAAAGACAAAGGATAGCCAGCAGTTGCTAAAATTAGAATGCAACAATTAAATTATCCAAACAGGGCTACTTGGGTGTAGCAGCAGCAGCTTAGCTTAGGCCCTATTTGGATATGAGAGATTTCAATATTTGGGATTCAATCTGCACGCCTCACACAATTTGTCCTCTATTCGTATGACTTTCAAATTTTGATGCAATGGTCTGTGATGAATTCTTGATTTCAACTGTTTCTCTTTTCTTCAAGTTTTCTTAATCCCCCTCCTTTTTTTTTCTTTTTCCTTCCTTACACGTACAACGAAATTTTAGAAGGCATATGAATCGTGTGTCGAATTGTGTGAGGCATTCAGATTGAAACTGCAATATCAAAATCTCTCGTTTGGATCTAATAGCAGCTAATACTTCATAGTAGTTAATACTAACTAGCTAAATACTATTTGCTACTTCCTTGTGTGGGAGTATGGCCCTCACTACCCACAAGACAAGACATGGGCCGCGCCCCAAAGTTGGCTCAGCCCACAAGATAAAGACGTGCACCGCAAGACTACATGAAGATATGATTTATTGTATAATACCAAATATGATATTTTCCTTGTAACCCTATCCCTCCAGGGTATATAAAGAGAGGCAGGGGTCCTCTAGACGGGACATCGAATCTGATACACAATCAATACAAAATAACAGAGCACAGGACGTAGAATTTTACGTCACATTGACGGCCTGAACCTGTATAAATCTTGTGTCTTGTGTCTCTGTTATCATCCGGTTCCTGATCACGTGCACCCCCACCGATCATTTACTACCGTGGGTATACCCCTCGGTAGACTGCCGACTAGATTTCGTCGACAGTGGCGCGCCAGGTAGGGGGTGTGCGTGTTGATCCATGGCGAACCAGATGTCGTACCTCAAGACCAATGTCGTCTGCGGTAACTCATCTTGCTGCAACGGCCTCCTTCAACAACATCTACGACGAACCAGCGGCGGCGTTCAACATCGTGCGCGGCAGCCGTCATCAAATCCATCTACAAGTCGGAGCTTGACTGGTGGTCGACGAATTCATCGCCCGATTGCGTGCGTGGGAATCGATTAGTTCAGCATGGTCTGACTCACGCATCTAGTACTACCGGAATCCTCAAATTTGCCGAGTGTTTTTATGTTTGCCGAGTATATTCCCTCGGGCACTCGGTGAACAAGTTCTTTGCCGAGTGCCGCGCTAAAAACACTCGGCAAACAAGGCATTTTGTCGAGTGTCAAAACAAAAACACTCGGCAAAGAGGTTGTTTGCCGAGTGTTAAAAAAATACACTCGGCAAAGAAATAAAATCTTTTTATGAAAAAGAAGGAGAAGAAAAAAAATAAAAAAAACTTTGCCGAGTGCTCAGATCTAAAACACTCGGCAAAAAAAGTAGGAGAAGAAAAAAATAAAATAAAAAACTTTGCCGAGTGCCCCATCTGGGACACTCGGCAAACCAAAAAAATACCCTACTTAACCTAACCGCGTCCCCAAAGACCCCCACCTGGTCCTCCCGTCCCCACCCCTTCTCTCTCTCTCCGACCCCCAGCGCCCCCTCTCTCCCCGGACGGCGCCGCCTCCCTCCTCCTCTCCCGACCACCCCTCTTCCCCTCCGGCGCCGCCCGCTCCCGGCCCCCCTACCTTCTTCCCGTGTGGCGGCCTCCTCCCCTTCTTCTTCCCTCACGGCGGCCCCTCTCCCTCCCTCCCTTCTTCTTCCCCGTGGGATCCGGCCCTCTCCCTCCTCCTCCCTTCTTCCGCCGCCAATCAGGGGCCTCCCTTCTTCCCCTTGGCCTCCCACCCCGCGAGATCCGGTGGCAGTGCCGCCCCTCTCCTCCCTCCCTCCCCCAACGGCGAGATCCAGGGGGGCCCCGTGGCGACGCACCCAAAGCGGTGGTGGAGGGTGGCCCAACGTTATGGCGCGCTGCACAGTGGCGTGGCTTTGTGGGCGAGGCGTGGCGTGGCACGGCACGACAGCTGCCTCTCACCCTCGTGGCGCCCGGATCCATGGCGTGGCGTGGCGCGGCCTCTCTCCTTCACCGGTGCTCAGATCCACGATGGCAGCGGGCGGAGGCGGTGGCCGGCGAGCACGGGTCCTCGCGACAGCTGTCTCCCGCGACACGGATCCAGGGCGGGCCAGCCCCCACCAGTGGAGGCGGCGGCCAGCGCCGGTGCGAGCGAGGTGGCCGGATCCAGCTCCCTCCCTCATTCGCTCAGCACGGCGGCGTGGATCCAGGGCAGAGAAGGTGGCCGCGGATCCAGGGCAGGGAAGGCGGCCACGCTGTCGCTTAGCACGGCGACGCGGGCCTAGACTCCCTCCCTCGCTCGGTGGCGGCAAGGATGGAGGCAGAGCAGGAGCCGGTGGTGGTGTCCGGTGGCTGATTTTTTTTTTTATTTTTTTTCAAAAAATGTTTGCCGAGTGTTTTTGGGGCACTTGGCAAAGTCTTCGCCGAATGCCCGACAAAAAACACTCGGCAAAACAGTGTTTGCCGGTAAACCATTTGTCGAGTGTCATTTGCCGAGTATAACACTCGACAAACGGTTTGCCGAGTATTTTTATGGCTTTGCCAAGTGCCCCTGATCCTGTATCCGGTAGTGTAGGCAGAATAATTATGGCTGAGTTGCAGACGCTGCCGCTCAATCGTTGCTGCTGCCTCGAAGCGGAGTCGGTTTCCTTCTTCGAGTTCGTTTTGGAGCAAGAGAAAATCAATCTACAAAGGCTGTTGACTGCTGTGTTGTCAGATCGAGTACTGACATCGGCACCATGTAGGATCGTGTACATGTGCTACGACAACAAGATAGCAAGGAGGCATGCAAACCGATGGAGATTACACATACGTGATTCCAAGCCAATAGCAAGCGAGCGAGGCCAATGCGTTTGTGCATATGCATGCACGTATAGAACAAGACATGTACATACTTACGTGTGTTTCTATCGGCCGAGCTGCATCAGATCGGCTGCTGCTCATCTACATATTCAACACAAGACCAAAAGTAGAGCCGCTAAGCGAGCCGCCTGGACTACTCGCTTCGACCGCCTGCTGCGTCGTAATAATGATCACCGCGTAGAACGGCGCTACGATGACCACGACCGCCGTCATGACGACAGGCTGGAAAGCTCGAGGGCCAGCCAATTTCGTCGACGCCGACCAGATAACATCATACGCCACCGATCAGACGTTATGTCTAAAGATAAGTACCTTTTTATATATGAATATTTAATAAAGTTTTTGCCATGATATTTCTTCATACTATTCTCTACATGATTATTCTCCAAACGATTTTTTTCCATGCTAAACATCTTTAAGATGACGTATACTATCGCCACTCAAATCGGACAGCGCCCTCGCCTCAGTCGGACACGCTTAAGGGCTTCGC